TTTTAAACTGATCTTTAAACATATGTGCATAGTCAAAACATACCTGAAGATAATAAACTAAAAATAACTGAGGTTTTTGCCTGAAGCAGTGGTATGGATAGTACAGTACTTTAGTGCAGCCTTAGCTGCTTTTTAAAAACATGACAAATATAAAGAGCAGCCTTTCCATAAATAATAAAATTTGATGGGTTGGCAAGTTCAGGACTCCTCCTTCACCAACATATATCTCTAGATCGCATAGAATGTTAAATGTTACGCTGCTCAATTAAAGTTTCCTTTTTATTTAAAAGTCCTGCATACAAAATCTCAACTGCCGTGTGAGAAGAAAAGAGTTAAATACTTCTCACTTGGAACTGCTCCTCTTACCCCTGTTTCCATTGTTCAGAGCCTCTGCCTTAATCTTGAAAGGCATCAACAATTCAAGAGGACTGACTTAAATCAGAAGCCACATCTCAGTCCACATCCCAAAGTAGACAGCATTATTTCTTTGGGACAATACAATTTGAAGGGACCATGACAAAACATGTGAGAACTGGGGATTAAAAAAATAGCACAGAGTAATAAATTCTCCCTGTCTGTCTCTCTTAAACCCTAGCCATACCACCTAAGCCAACAGCAGAGAAATGTAATGGAATAGGAGATGTTCTGGTTCCACACTACTAGGTGATCTTTATTTATATTGTGCAACTATACTTTCTTCCTTCGCTCTGGCCATGCACCATAAACCGGTGGTAGCACAAAGAAGAATTTAGGCCTAAATGTATAATTTTAAAATAAGAGGGGAGGAGAATGGTGGATGGAACTTCAAAGAACTGCTGTGACTGTGCCTGTGGTCTGGAATAGCCCACGTGGCAGTCTTAAAAAGTCTTTCCAGAAAACAGCGTTTGCAGTTGGAGCTGGTTGCAGGCATAACCTAAGAGTGAAGCGGGGCTGGACATGATTAATTTATTCCTCTTTTAGACAAGGAACCATTTCACTTTGCTAGCTTAATTACTTTGTTTTCACTTTAATTGGATCCAAAGAACAGCAACAAGAAACACTGAATCACTACGGTATAATTGGAAGGTTTTATTGGATTTTAGGAAACATGACACTGTTGTTCTTTTTTCTAATCTGCACAGTTGAATGAGTCTATTGCAAATAAAAATATCTTCTCATATTATGACACGTGCCCATTCCTGAGCATGATATTTAAAGCGCAGGGGTTGTATTTTGCTTGGTTTATTTGTTACAACACTGTGCAAGAGCAATTCATGGTGATAAAGTGGGTGATGGAATTCAGCATCTCTTGAAACAACAAGGTTATGGAGTTGAACTATTTCTACACACTGCAAGCTTTTAAGCATGACTGACAACTTCTCTCACAGTCTCAAAGAAGAACACGCAAATGGAAGCTGAACATCAGTTGCAGCTAGAGAGGTAACCTGCCCGAATCCTCCTGAAAAATCAGATTTTAGCTTTTTAAAATGATTTTTTGATGTGGCATAAATTTGGTGTTAGTCATAAGCAAGCAATACACTGGCAAGTTTAAACATGAGCTTTTTAGTGGAATGTTACTACCCTTTGTATTTCCCAAATGATGAGTTAGAAGAGATGCTAATCCTGACTACATTATTCTGTCACTGAAACTACACACCTACAGTATTTTCAGCAGTACAATAGTTTGCAATTCCCTCATATTTTCCTTCACCAAAAACTACATACCACATCTGAATAGAGGGAGCTAGGTGTTTGTACAAAATGACTCTTGTACAATGAAAATGAATACACACTTTAAACCATTTTGTCATAAAAGTGTTTGATTCCAAATCATGAACATTTTCTGTTTCTGACTCTATGAATTACTTCATTAAAAGTAAATATATTTCAAAATTATTGTGCAGGTCATGAAGGTTAGTTGACAAAGTGAAGCAATTTAATTATATAGTTCTACATTATGTGTCATCATTATTTGAATATGTGAAATGTATCTAATTAAGCAATAAGAGACAATAGACCATGTATTCCTG